CTCACATGGGAAACAGCTAGCCACTCAGGCTACGAACAACAGCTCCTGGGTAAGCGAGTCCACCCGTGTGCCAGTGTCCTTGGAGCACACAGCAGTGCTCAGCTGCTTCCAGAGTCATGAAGCAATGCTCCGTGCTCTATCCTTCCTTCCTCCCTGCTCACCCCCCATTTGTTATATCTCGCCAGCTAATTACAGAGCTGACAAACACACCCAGCTGGGGACACTCAAGTTGTTGGGAGCAGCGTTGCAGCAGGAACATCAGTTCTTCTGGATAAGCAGAATTTCCTCAGCCAGGGTGGTCACTTAGGCTGATAATTGTGTGAACTGCCTCAAAACCATGTTCTGCCGATGGCGCAAGACCTGAGATTCCCCGAGACAGGTCTGTGTTGCAGTTAGAGAGCTGGGAGAAGGCACTTATTTCTCTAAAAAACAAGAAGCGGTTATTTCTCTTGTCTTAGGGGTAGGAGTACAGCAGACCCCCTTTTCAGGGAGACACGGCCGGTCTTTGGAAATCCCTGCTGGAGCCAGCAGCAGCCACTCAGTTCAAAGCTCCTTTCTTTAAGCCTTGAATTCTCGGCCATAAAGTCTCTGAAGAGGTTTTGATAACTTGCCTATCTTTTAGATAAGCAAAGCTTTGGATGAATCCCACATGGTCCTCTATCTACTGCAAGTCCTCATTTGTTTTCCGCCAAGGCACTTGCTGGTTTTCCTCTCCAAGGTGTTGGACAGAAATGTCAAGGGGCTGAGGGGGCGGCATTTGAGACGGGAATTTTTGCCAGGACGATTTTTCTTTTTCTTTTCTAAGTGCTATAGGGCAAAGCCGTTGAGGGAAAACCCAAGTGATAACTGGAAGAGACAGATTTTTCTCATGGAATCAGTAGGTTTACTCCTCATGCAATGAAAAGGCAGAGAGGAAGGACAGATGAAAGTTGGTCCTTGCAAATGGTTTAATTTAGTGGAATTTTAAAACAGTAAATTCTGTGTATTTAAATTTGCAGGGACCAGGCTGCAAGATCTTTAACTCAGTAAATCTGCAAGAAGAGTCTGTAACAAAGTACACAAGCAGAGCCTAAAGAGAGACATTTCTGATTTCTGTGAGGCCTTTCTAGGCAGCCTTGCCCAGGGAAAATTTGTAAAAGGGAAGGGGAAGAGAAAAGAACTAAAGGAGAACAGTGCCTGGAGAGAAGATTTCCTGAAATGAATCAGAAAGAAGTAGCCATAGCCTTAAACCCCAGGAGATCCTTGCACCAGCCCAGGCCCAGCCACTTATGCCCAGGTTATTTATTTTTCTCACTTTAGCAGTGTCACGTATTTAATGTTTTAAAATCTAGTATCTTCTTTTATCTCCAGCAGGATACAAAGCAAGAAGCAGCTTCCTAGAGCAGCCAGGCAGAAGGGAGCTGGCGACCTGTGCTGGGTCAAGGAGGGGAGGAAGATTAAAAGGAGATGGGATTGTGCTTTGTCCTTCACGGAAGACTTTATCCCCTCCAGATACACAACAGAAGCTTTCTCTCCCTTGGAGGCTGGCCGGCAATGGCCTTCCTGTCTCTCAAAGCTGCTCCTGGGTCATGCACAGGGCAAGCTGCGAGCAGCACAGCTCCGTCCCCTGCCCCAACTGCCAGCCCTGCCACCAGCCCCCCGCTTCCCCCCCAGCCCCCCTGCCCAGGGCTGCACCATCAGGCGCTGCGGGACTTGTGTCCCCAATTCCTTGGGCGGCACTTGTCCCTGCACCAGCCCTGGCTCCTTGCCCACTGCAGAGGGATGCTGATCAATTAGCGCACAACAAATAATTAAGCTGATGAATGTCTCTTTTTCCCGCTTGCTGACTGCGGTTGCCTCGAATTTATGCCCAGAATATGACTGCATTTATTCGTGGCCGTTTGTAGCATTCAAGGGAGGTCTTTAATGATTTCTTTAAAGCTCTCTAGCCTGCCTGTGAATAGCGCAGGGCAAATACTCATTATTTCCTATCTAAGCAGCAGTGCTGATTAGTCGGCGGTTGGTCAGATAAGTCACACTGCTCCGTTCCCCCCCTCGCTGCAGAAATGCACAAGGTCATTTGCTGCTAGTGCTCAAATGCAAAGGGAAAATGTGGCCTAAGCGAATGCCGCATAAAAGTCTCTTGTGCATTTTGAGGCCAACAAAAAGAGGAGCGTGTAAAATCTCACATTAAGCAAGAGAGCTCAGAATTAAAGTGAATATGGGCTGAATAATTTTGCTTTCACGCAGCCTGGTTCACAGCATCGTGTGCAGCTTTTGGGAGGGTAGTGGGATTGCAGTGGAACATAAGTCTTGACAGTTTGCGGACATTAAGGATCTGAAGCCAGCTCTTACTTGACTGTTAACTCCTGAATCTTCACATGATGCAATGTTAATCTTCAACCCTTTCCTAAAATAATGTGCCGAGTTGCTATGTTCTGTTAAATGTGAACCATGTGTCACCTCGGCAATGGCTGCAACGGTGAAAAGATGATAAATCTAAAGCTTGTAAAGCGTTCTGTGACATTTTGGGAGAAAAACAGGTGTTGCATAAATGTTAGACATTTATGAGTAAACTTGCAGGGGCTTTAAAAGACTGACACATCTGCCACATAGTATGTAACCCTGAAAGAAAAGGAGCAAAGCAGTCTCTTTCATGTGTCTTGCTCTTTCTACAACCATATGAAAATACATCCTCATCTGGTATTGGAATTAACAGAGCTAGACTCGCCTCTCCCTATGTCTCCTCCAGGTTTTTGGCTTTTACACCCAATGTGTATTTTAAAACTGTGCCTTTTTAAGTAGGTGGCAAACTGTGCTGGAAGGATTTGGTATGCGGAGTATTTTTATTCAGCTCCCTTTTCTCTCACCTTTCATTGTTTTTCCCTTTGGAATATCTCCTGTAACGCTCCACTCATAAACCTCTTCAAAGGGAGGGCTGTATTTGAACAGCCTTGCCTGAAATCTGGCCCCAGTCAAAGGCCTCAGATGGGAAAATAACTCGCAGAGCCCAGACCCGCGGCCCCACGGCTGCTGCCGCAGGGGTCGGGGGGCCCCTTGCAGAGAGGTGCTGCCTGCTGCCTCTCCTGCTTTGACGCCGTGGCCCCGCTGGCTGGGTTATTATTCCCCCCTTTACCCTAATAAATGTAATAAACAGAGATTTAGCATCTTGCTTTTGGCCCGGATAGTCCAAGGAAAAGGTGGTTTTCTCACTCCTCCCCAGTGTCCTGTTCAGCTCCTGGGATGTTGGTGGTGTTTTGGGAGAGAGGAGAAGATTTGGGAAACTGGATGTGTGCCGAGGAAGCGATGGGCTCTGTGGTTGAGCCCTCAAACCGTGTGATCTCTAGGCTGGGGGTTTCTACAGTACAAACCTGGGCAAGACTAGTTCCCCGATCACAAAGATACAGTGCCCAACAAAGTCCATGGAAGCAGACTTAGCTCCAAAAATCTAGAAACCCTCCCATCCCTCCATGGGGGAAATGCATCAGCCGTGTGACCAGCTGCCTCTCTCTGAACCACTTGCCCTTCTCATTGGGCAGTTTTAGCACAGAAACCAGTAACCAACTGGGCTAGAAAGTGCTTTCCCCCTCTTGGGTGGTCGCTTCGTTTCTGGGTGGCAGCGAAGCAGCAGATATTTTGAGCGTGACTCGTCTGGCTGGTAAGTGCTCAGGACTCTGTGCAGATCCCACTCTGTCTCAACTCCTTGCCCAGCAATAAATTCTGCTCCCAAACCTTAATCCTAGCCCTCTCCCCCCCAATTCCGCACTCACATCCCTTGTGTTTCACTCCCATCCCCACCCCAGCAATACACTGTGCTCTCAGCTCCTTGTCTTGATGGGGCTGGTTTGGGTCAGTCCCCTCCCAGCCACCTCGCTTCGATTCCCCCAGCACTCCCTGGGATTTTTCATCCCCTGCTCTCAAGCCTGGAGGAGGGAGATAAATTTTCCCAGGCAGGCTGTTGTAGGAGGAGAAGACCTACGCCATGCTGAGCTACTGGGCACTTCCAGCTCTGCCCTCCCGCAGAGGCTGAGGAGCAAGCTGTGCCTGCCCTTGGGCTGCTCCTCCCAAGGAGGTGGAAAATCAGCCAGAGATAGGAATCTCTTCTTGGAGATGACACTGGAGATGAGCCACTGCCTGTCACCCAGCTGGTCTTTGCAGTGGTGGTTTGAGCAGGAGCCCCGTACGAGCTCTCCGTGCGCTGCTCCACCCTTGGGAAACAGAGAAGCTCACCTGCCTGTGCTCCCTTCAAAGGGACATTCACAAAATAAATACAGCAATACAGGGGAAAATTTGTCCAAAAAACACCCACATTTAGGAAAAGTACCTCTTCCCCCACCTCTTCACCAATGAAGAAATGAGCTGCTTCCACTTGTCAAGACATGTCCACTGTCCTCCCCCAGTGTTCCCATCTGGGCCAGAGACAGCCCACAGTGCTGTACTGGTAGCAGATCTTTGGCTGAACTAAGGAAAAGAAGCCTGCAGGCAAAGCTGCCTTAGAAAGGACTGCTCCCTACAGAGAGGGCTTCAGTTCCTCAGCTGCACCGGAGAGGAACTTACTCCTCAAGTGGCTGAAATGGATGGTGCCATATGCTGAGCCCAAGCTTTCCCCTTTCCCACTGAGGGTGGACAGCAGGATGGGCAAATATACCCTCCTCAGTGTTTCTGTGTGAAGGTCTCCTAAGCAGTAGGTGCAGCTTTTCTGAACGTGCCCCAAGATTTTGGAAGGAGCCAGCCTTTGCCTGTAGAGAAGCTAGGGTTTATTTACAGCAAGAATGAATGAACACCTCTGACTACTTTAAGAACCTGCCTTGCATAGGTATAAGGTGGGTTATTATGGGAAATGCACATGCCTATCAAGAGGAAGCTTCAAAATGAACCAACAAGAACTCAGTGCCTATGGTGGACTGAAGGTCCTTCTGAGACCTTGGACCTCCCCTATTGTAACAAAAATAATTTTTTTCCAGGCGCAAAGCAGCACTCACCAAGTAATTCCCAGTGAAAAGAGGAAGGGGCATCCCTACCTTTTTGGTCTTGACTGTTGAGGCACAGCAGTCCCCACCATCATAGTTGCAGAAGGCTCGGTTGTTGATGGAGTCACAGTAGTTGTCCCCCATGAAAGGCTGAAAAAGGAAAAAAGCAGAAAAAGACTGAGAATGTGGACATGGATGAAACCTGTAAACAATATGTCAGCAGGA